CCTATTTATCAAATGCGTTTAAGATACCCCTTGTATCTCAGTAACTATCACTATATGTCCACTAGATACTAGTGTTTTTGCTAACAAAGGTGTATTCCTGATTCCTTCTAGAATATCTTTGAGGTTGCATCAAAGCCATAATGACTCCGGCTGCAGCATACTCCATTTGATAATCTGTGGGGAAATTCACAAAGATGGCACAGTTTTAGCGAAAGAATGCTGGACCCTCACATCATAAGAATGAAGCCTTATATTATGCTTTGGACACTGTGACATGGAGGCTTCTTAAGGAGATAATTGTCATAGTTGGCCCCACAACTTCCCCATGCAGATGTCAGAGTTACCCTGACCTGTTGGAATCCCATTTCTAGAGTCCCCAGTTCTCTCCATTTCATAAAGAGCTTTAAGTTATGTGATCTGCCAATGAATTGTGAATTGAAACTAGATGGTGGCTTTTCTGTATAATTGGAGACACAATTACTGCAGTTGCCTCTACCTGGGCCTCTAATTCCAAGATTATTTGTACAAGCCCCTGAAGAAATAAAACAGCAAGTTACTCCATCCATTTTGCATGTTTTAGCGGTGATTTTGTATAGCTATTACATAGCTGACTTTGATCTGACGTGGTAAAGTTTCAACTTTGTGAATAAATTGCAGGCTGTGACTGTGGTTTATAGATTTCTCCTCATCCTTTATGTGCCCTTTTCTGTTACTGTTCTTTCAGTTTCCCACCTTTCCAATTTCCGATGAGCCCCTTTACTTAACTACTGATGTCCCAATTTTGCTCCCAGAACCCTGATGTTGAAAATTCCCATGCCCTTGTTGGCCCTACACCCTTCCCCATGTAGAGGTCAGAATTATTCTGACCTGTTGGAACCCCCCCATTTCTAGAGTCCCCAGTTCCCTCTATTTCATTATGATGTGTCACATGTGAAATGTGCAATTACCCTGTATCACTGTCACCACTCACTCTGCAATCCAGTAGATTGAAGCACGTCTCCAGACTTGAGTTGCCTGCTTTCCCCTGGACTCATGGGCTTCCCCCAGTAGTTCCTTCATCATCATTGACTAAGCCCCCAGTGCTCACCAAGATCCATCCTGTCCCAGACCGGCTTGGCAGGATTGGCCTAACTGACCACTCTTATGATATCTTGACAGTACCCAATTAATCTGCCTGGAACTGTCTATCCTGGAAGGCTAATCAGTCATTGATTAGGTTTAAAGTAGAGATTGATAGATACCAATATGTAAGTGTCAATGACAGAAAGTTATAAGGAGATAGTGTAAGGAGAAAAGAATTGAAGTGGATTCTCAAACTTGATCCTATTCAATGGCAGAGCATCTCAAAGGGCTATATGATCTACTTCTGATCCTGCATTCCAGACAGCAAAGAGGGAAAAATATGCTGAATAAAAAAAATTGAAAAAAACTGCTGATGCTGGAAATAAAAAACAAAATCAGAAATTGTTTGAAAAACTCAGCAGGTCTGGCAGCATCTGTGGCGTGAAACCAGAGTTAACTTTTTTGGTCCAGTGACTGTTCTTCAGAACATAAAAATATGCTAAACTTTACCTCAGGCAGCCATAGTATCTTACCGGTGATCACTCGGGATGCTGCATAGGCAGAAATGTCATGCAGTTACCACTGTAATGATGGTGGATGGTGTAGCAGAACCAAACAAGAAAGAAACAAATTTCAAGTGCAGAAATAAATTCCCAAAAGGCTGGTATAATTTTGGAATCCAAAACTATCATCTCCAATCCTGTCACAAATTACATATTATAGCTGATATTTTTATTCCTTTCCCCAGTTGCAGTCTCAGATTGAACCAGACCATATGCTTTCAGATTTGCAGTATCTAAACTTATTCATTAAGAGGCTGAAGAGTCTGGCCCCAGAAACTTTAAATCTTTATAAATGAATGCAATGACTTAGACTTTTTTAATACATTAGTAAAACATGCAAATACCATGTATCACATTACTAACATGAATCAGCCTGCAAGATGGAGGCTTAAATATCATGAGGTTGATTTTAAGCGTCCTAAATTCAAATTGCACATACATCAGTATTAGTTATTTTCACCGTAGCCTCAGTGGTCAAATTAACATTAACTTGCTTCCTCTTCAGCCCTTTCCCAAGCTCAGTATTATCCACTCATCTGTTTTTTTTTCTTCTCTTTCTACCTTGTTTCTCCTTCGTTGAAGGTTGGTTGTCAAGTTTTTATTTCCAATGTCAGTACTTTGCTGCCTTTCTCTACCTTTGCTGAGCAAACACTTTGATTCCTGAACTTTTACTCTTGCTGTAATCCATTAGTTTGTCGTTCTGTTCATCCAGTTTAGATATTTTCTAATTAGCCTGTCCAGAGTTGTTGTTACACACCTCTGGAGTAGATGGCATTTGAACCTAAGCCTCCTGGACCACAGTTAGGGACACTGCCACAAGAGCCCTACTTGTTTGTCCAGTATACTTTCTCTCCCACATAGTGATAGAACAAAGAACAAAGAAAATTACAGCACAGGAACAGGCCCTTTGGCCCTCCAAGCCTGCTCCGATCCAGATCCTCTATCTAAACCTGTCGCCTATTTTCCAAGGATCTGTATCCCTCTGCTCCCTGCCCATTCATGTATCTGTCTAGATACATCTTAAATGACGCTATCATGCCCGCCTCTACTACCTCCTCTGACAACGCATTTCAGGCACCCACCATCCTCTGAATAAAGAACTTTCCACGCATATCTCCCTTAAACTTTTCCCCTGTCACCTTGAAATCATGACCCCTAGTAATTGAGTCCCCCACTCTGGGGGAAAATGCTTCTTGCTATCCACCCTGTCTATACCTCTCATGATTTTGTAGACCTCAATCAGGTCCCCACTCAACCTTTGTCTTTCTAATGTAAATAATCCTAATCTACTCAACCTCTCTTCATAGCTAGCGCCCTCCATACCAGGCAACATCCTGGTGAACCTCCTCTGCACCCTCTCCAAAGCATCCACATCCTTTTGGTAATGTGGTGACCAGAACTGTACGCAGTATTCCAAATGGGGTCGAACCAACATGACCTGCCAACTCTTGTACTCGATACCCCGTCCGATGAATGAAAGCATGCCATATGCCTTCTTGACCACTCTATCGATTTGCGTTGCCACCTTCAGGGTACAATGGATCTGAACACCCAGATCTCTCTGTGCATCAATTTTCCCCAGGGCTTTTTCATTTACCATATACTTGGCTCTTGAATTGGATCTTCCAAAATGCATCACCTCGCATTTGCCTGGATTGAACTCCATCCGCCATTTCTCCGCCCAACTCTCCAATCTATCTATATTCTGCTGCATTCTCCGATAATCCCCTTCACTATCTGCTACTCCACCAATCTTTGTCATCTGCAAATTTGCTAATCAGACCATCTATACCTTCCTCCAGATCATTTATGTATATCACAAACAACAGTGGTCCCAACATGGATCCCTGTGGAACACCACTGGTCACAGTTCTCCGTTTTGAGAAACTCCCTTCCACTTCAACTCTCTGTCTCCTGTTGCCCAGCCAGTTCTCTATCCATCTAGCTAGTACACCCTGGACCCCATGCGACTTCACTTTCTCCATCAGCCGACCATGGGGAACCTTATCAAACGCCTTACTGAAGTCCACGTATATGACATCCACAGCCCTTAAATGTCACCTGACTTTTTGTCATCTGTCCTGTTTGTCATGCAAAAACTAGCTGGAATCTCTCGTCTGTGATTTTCAGGGACTTGTTCTTTGGTACTTGGTGATGGTTATAGATTTCTTCAGGAATTTTCATGTGTTACTGGCAAACTCATATGTTTATGATTTTTCTTAAAGTTTCACAACCACAGATATAAAGATTAAGTGTTGCAATCCAATCTGTTCTGTTAGTCATTCTTGCTCAAGTTTATATTGTGCTGAATAATAGCCAAAATCTCATTTTTCTTCCTACCTAGTTGAGGTTTTAGTTAGTTTATCCAAGGAATCACTTAGTGCTGCCTTGGGCACTGTTCTGCAATGCTGTGCTGGTCTGAGTTTCTAACAGGTTCACTCTCATACCACACATTTCTCCCTCCATAACGTTGTTCATCCTAACCGCAACCTGAGCTGATCTGGTGCTGAAAACTTCATCCAAGTCTTTTCTATATCTTCTCGACTTTCTTATTCCATTTCTGTCCAGACCAGGCACCTTTCCTTCACCATTCTTAAATTTGAGCTCACATGGAAATATGCCAATTTCATATTCTCCAACAAATCCTCTCCATCTTTGGCCTTGCTGACCTACATTGACATCAACATTCAGTTTTCAATGAGGAGGTAGATATAGCTCTTGTGGCTAAAGGGTTTTGGATAAAGGAATAATTAGGGATTGAACTTCGTGATCAGCCATATTCACATTGAATGTCAGAGCAGGCTTAAGAGGTCAGTAGTTTACTCCTGCTCCTATCTTCTATGTTTCTCTGTATCTCCAACTTAATAGTCTCATTTTCATGGCATCCTCCTTCCCAATTATGCAATCTCCTCTGGCTCAACACCTTCTACCCATCAGCTTTGGTTATCTCCTGTTGTGTCTCAGACCTCTAGACTCCTTGCTCTGCATTTCCATCTTCCCCATTCTTCTTCTGATTCAATATTCAGTTAAATCTAAGCTTTTGGCTCTTTCACTCAGCATCCATTGTTTGATTATGCTTCTGTGAAATGCCTGTTATGTATTTTTCCACATTACGTGTGTGATTTTTGTCCAAGTCGGTTCTTTGAATTTACTTAAATCTGTGTAATCTTTTGTTGTTCAATGAATAATTTTTGTCAATATTATCTGCCTTAACATTTTGCTTTACTACAGACATTAAAAATTATTCTCAACTTAATAGTGTTGACAATGATTACACAGACATAGCCTCAAAATTGACCCCACCAGAATATATATTAATGTCTAAGAATCATTTGACAGTCACATTTACAAATCAACGTTCTTCTCATGTATAAGGGCTCATCGACTTCAGTGCAAATATGACTGAAAACTCAAGAGGAGGTCCACTGTACTCTTCAGAGTCCAATTCTGCTGGTTTCCTGGTATATTACGGAGAAAATGAAAATATGGGGAGCTACAAAGTTAATGATACCCCCCTGGAACTGACCTTCAATATGTCTGCAGAGATTCCATTCTCCAATGAAACACTTCTGCAGATTATTCATCAAGCAAACAGAACACAGAAATTGCGGTAAGCCATCTTAACAAATGATTGAGCAGAGTTACATACAAACATAAAAAATAGTTGTGTTTTCTTTGCCTGTTGTAACTTACATTTCACATCAAGATAGATTTTTTTTTTCTCTTGGTGTTAGACAAATCTATAAACATTAGAAGTCTATCTTCTTCCACAATGCCCTGTGAAGTTGATGTAAGTTGAATGTTACATAGCCATAAGTTGTTCTTGTTCCAGTGACCTTTGCATCATCATTGTCCACACGTCATTGCTTTCATGTTAAGTTAGATAACTTGAACAGTTATCTGTAGCTCTAAATTGTGGCTGATCAGAAGTTGCAAAATGTATGTACTCCTGGGCTCTTTACACGTTGCAGCCATGTCTTTATGTCATTGGTAGATTCATACAGTGCAGAAGCGGCCCTTCGGCCCATCAGGTCTGCATCGACAGACTCAGAATATTCTAAAAAAATTGTTAAAAAAAAAATTTTAATTGATATATTGTGTTTAAAAAAAAAAAACTGCAGTTGAATTCTCATGAGAATCCAATTATTTGGTGATAGTAAAGAAAGAAACAGGCAGTGGACTAGTGACTTCAAAACAGTAGTGAAATCCAATAATATAAAAGATACATGGGTAAACATGAGCAGAGTAAGTACATAGCCCCTGAAAATCAACAATTTTGCTTTGTTGCTATAACCATTGTAAAACAGGTCTTTACCCCAGAGGCGGATAGAACAGTTTAATAATTGGACATTTCCATGAAGTTTATCTGTGCCGTTACCTGTATTTGTACATTAGGTCATGGTCACTCTCTAGGGAATATAGCTAATATAGTTAAATTATGGGGAATTGTTTTTAAAAGATGCTTGTCCCTTATAGAAAGGCAGGTATACATGAAACAGCTGATTATTTTGTAACAAACTTCCCTAAGAAGAATGACCATTTTGTATAGCTTGGGCTTCACTTCCACCGGGATGTGCTCCTGATACGTGCTATAAGTTGTTTTAGTCACAAGCAGATGAAAACAAGTGTTTATCTCTTTGTTTAAGCGACTTCAACACTGCCCACCCAGGCTTGGAGACTTGAACGAGGTCCCATCCCAATATTTGTATCTTTTATCTGATTGTGTCTGGAATCTGCTGAAAATATTTCAGATTTTCAGTGCCAATATTATGCAAAATTAACTAACACTAAATGTACATTAACACAAACAGGGCAATGGTGACTGAATGAGATGTGCTTAAGTAGATTATCAGACAAACTCCAGTTTTGTATAGGTAATGTAAAACAATCAGCACTTTTAAAGCCAGAGAATGGTATTAAAAGCAAAATTATCATGGGTAGACTCTGATTGCACTTTCCTCTTGGCTAAATAATTATGGAAGTGGCTGCAAATAAGTCCATGTATATATGTGAATAACAATTTTAAATAGCATGGAAAATTAGGTTAGTACACTTCTCAAGAGTCTGCCAGATCTCTGCACCAGGACCACTCAGCAGAGCTGGTGATGCCAATGGAGTGAGAGATCATAGTCACTGTTAGTAGGTTAGGAGATTGTGCAATGTTGCACCAAACTCCTTGCAGTTTTTGAATCTTAAGTGGCAGCTATGCCCAGAGCAGTTCACACAAGAAACACTATGCTTAGACAGTGAGCCTTTCCTCAGGACATGCATATTTACATGCTGCAACCCACCAGTGATGTTGTTCCTGGAATTGGTGCTTTTCATTATTTGCCGTTCATGTCAGAGCTTCTGCTGTCTAGAGATTGTATACAGGCCGTAACAGTGAGGCATATGAGCAATAGAACAGATTTGATATTATGTACAAAGTTAAAATATTTACTGTAATATCAAACTGTTTAAAGCAGAAATCTGTCTAGTCAGATTAATAATTAGGTACAATAATTCATTTTAGCCAAAATGAGAGATTCAACATCAAAAACATCCAGGTTTTTTCAATCATTTAAAAAATAATAGTTACCTGTTGGACTGGTATCTGAAAATTGCTATTGGAATATCAATCGTAACACATGATGACTAAAACAGTACACATGTCTGCTATTTAAATGGTCTTTTGTTTCTCTAAAGCTGGGTATTTTTATTACATTCTCTCTGTTTCTAGCCAGCTGAAGCTCTGCTTGTAACAAGTCTTGGAATGCTTCTTCAACAGCAGGACAGGTAGGTTTGTGACACACATGTTTGTGCAGTGCTTTATCCTGTTTACTTTGCTCAGACATAATTCCTTTCACCAATGATTTCTTTCAGAAATAGACTGAAAATGCTGAGAAAGGGCCTGGGAGTGAGTGCCGCTGACATGTACAGATGGAAGTTGTCATCTCATGAACCTTGTAGTTCCACCTGCACAACAGGTATACATTTATACAGGTTGTTGACTTGCTCACCGAGCTGGCTTGTTTTTGTTCAGACGTTTCATCACCATGTGAGGTGACATCATCAGCAGAGCCTCCGATGAAGTGATGTTATTCTACTCCACTTGGAATTTGTTGAGTACTCACCATAACAGACCAGATTGTATAAGTTCCAAGCGGAGTGGAATAACATTGCTTCATCAGAGGCTTCACTGAAGATGTCATCTAGCATGGTGGTGAAACATCTGAACAAAAGCAAGCCAACTCGGCAAGCAAGTCAACAATCCGAGCTACAGATCTTTGCCAATACTTTATACATTTATACATTTAAGCATTCATATCATTGAACTTAGTGTGATGAAAGAAGATCACAGATTAGTATACCTAGATAAGTATGCCTTTAAGAGAGTAACCCCATGGTTTCAAGGGCTAGCTTACAAAAGCCCTGATGATAAAGGGGCAAGTTCACAACTAATCTTACCACCTCCCACTTACGCATTTTGGCAAAACATCAAGCATGTGGTTGCATATTGGTGTGCAAAATGGACTACTCCAGAAAGACAGCCATGTCTGTCACACACTCAATACCATCATGTTGTAACATTTTTACCACTTGGATTCTGTCTTAATCAATGGCTGGCTATTTGGTTTCCCATCAGAAGGTGGTTGGTTCAAGTCCTATTTCAGAGACTTGTACACTTAATTGGAGATTTTGTCAGGGGCTTCTCATGATAGTCCAAAACGAGATATCTCTCAAAATTATGGTAGTCAGTTGGGGGAGGGTTCCTCAGAAAATTTCCAGCTGTTAAACCTTGGGAACTTTCTAAGGTTGTGCAAAATGTTGCATATATGCAATTGTTTTTTTTTTCTTTACATTGTCCAAGACTTTATAGGTTTCAGGTATTTAAGTGGAATAGTGAAACATAATCTCTCAAATTGTATCCCTCCCTGCCCTCCCAATCAGTTAATATGTTACCTGAGTAGTTGAGGCAACCTGCTGACTTTCTGCTCAGTTCAGAATTGAAAGAACATTTCCATTATGGAGTGATAATATTTGTATGATGAGATCTGTCAATTCTTTTGCATAAAAGATCATTGTAATATTGGATGCTGTGAAGCAACAGCATAATTATAATAAGGAGGCATGTCTTTTTTTTTACTAATATACACTTGTATGTACTAAGTATCTACAAATTAATTAAATCATGCTTCTCATTGTTAGGTATCCAACATAATTGGTCATATGCAAGTGTCTGTACCTCATAAAGATATATTACCTCATCCTGACTGTTTTATATGGGATTTAACTTCTCATTAATATATTTATAGCAGGCTCAGATCAATGGTGCATGTAAGGGACTTGGTGAATTCAACTTGATTGTTGCCAGGGTCCCAACAAAAACTGTTTCTTGTAATTGTGTGTAATAAAATGGTAGAATAAATGAAGAAACTTCATTCAATACCAAGAAAAGTAAGTTAATTATCTGCTATCTGAACATATAGATGTAACCTTCGATTTCTGAGTAACAATGAGTCATGCCATTGGGAGCTCCTTGTTGCTGGTAGGGTCATCCATGTTGGCAAGATCAGGGAAGGTGCCAGACAAATTGTGATTCAAAGTCCTAGATCGCAGAACAGGCAAAGAAAGACTGCATCTTACTACGAAGACAGGAGAAGGCTGCACCAACAAAGTGGTCCCAATTATTATGGCTCAATACATCAATGAAATCTGACCACAACTCATTAAGAACATGTGGACAACGACAGCACACCAAGATTTCCATATTAAATGAAGTCACGTGCAGTCTTCTATAAGAATCAATTTGTCAAGTTCAGTGGCAATGGGAAGTAGGCAATAGGGACAGGGCTGTAAACCTGGGAGCCACTGGTCAAGAATCTGTTCACAGGCAATAGAGACATGAAGAATCTGCACCTATGACTAAGCAGTCTCTTCAGGTTGGTGTTCTGATCCAGCTAATGTTATTACTAGACAAGTCAGATCCCAGACTGAAGCCTGACTTGATAGTTAATCTTTTTGTTTAATTTTGGTTTCAACAAAATTTTTTTTACTGAAACATAAGCATGCAATGTTTCAGATTTTGTTTGAACAATAAAACAGAAGGTTATTAACCAAAAGAAATAAAGGTAAAATGGAATAAACCAACCTATATACTGCCAACACAAATGCAAGATTTTTAAACACACCATAAAAGCACGGTCTCATTACTTCCATAACAGACTTCTACAACTTGCAAAAAAAAATCCTTTTAACATGTAACCCAAAGTATATCTTGTCCAGTACGCATAGAAGAAAGAGATATTTTTCCCCAACAACTCAATAGGCTCAAGATAATTGTGACTTTAATTCCTGCAGTGCAGAGGCTTCTCACCGGAGCTATAGTATATCTGAGCTTAAATGTACTCAGCTTCAAGTAATCTCTTCAGGGTTTTATCTCAACACTTCTGGTTTGGGACTATCATCAACTCCTTACTCTCAGGTAATCTGTTTTTATTATATTCTCCCCTTCTCATGAGAACATCTGAGTACAACCATATTCATCTAAGGACTTCTCAGGACTGTTCAAAACAAAGTAAAACCTAAAAAAAAGCCTCTCCCTCTAATGTAGGAGTAATAACATAGAAATAGGAGTAAGAGTAGGCAATTTGGACCTTTGAGCCATTTAATTTGATCATGGCTGATTATCCAAACCAGTATCCATAGTCTTTGAACCCTTTAGCTCTGAGAAAACATTCAATGTTTTGTTTGCAACCACTTTCTGTGGCAGAGAATTCCACAGGCTTACCAGTCCTTGGGTGAAGAAATTTCTCCTCATCTCAGTCCTAAATGATTTATCCCACATGCTCAGACTGTAACCCCTGGTCCTAGACTGACCAGTCATTGGGAATATCCTTCCTGCATTTACCCTGTCAAGTCCTATGAGAATTTTGTAGGTTTTTATGAAACTGCCCCTCATTTAAGTCATGCCATCCTAGGAATCAGTCTGGTAAACCTTTGTTGCATTTCCTCCATAACCAGAATATTTTTCCTCAGTAAGGAGACCAAAACTGTATACAGTATCCATTTATGGTCTCATCAAGGTCCTGTACAATTGTAACAAAACATCCCTGCTCCTGTATTCATATTATCTTGCTACAAAGGCCAACATAACTGTTTCTGTTCTTCACGCCTGCTGCATCTGAATGCTTACTTTCCATGACTGTGTCCTAGGACAATCAGCCTTATTGCACTTCCCCCTTTCCTAATGTTTCACTATTCAAATAATAATCTGCTTTCCTGTTTTTGGTAACAAACTGGATATCCTTAGATTTGTCCACATTATACTTCATTTGCCGTACGTTTGCCCACCACTCACTTTGTCCAAATCACACTGAAGCAAGTCTGCGTCCTCACAGTTCAGTATTCCAACCAGCTTTGTGTCATCTTCAGACTTGGAGATATTATATTTAAATCCCTCATCTGAATCATTAATACATATCGTGAAAAGCTGGAGTCCAAGCACTGGACACTCCAGTACCCTACTAGTCACTGGCTGCCTCTTGGAAAAAGACCCAAGTATTCCTATTCAGTGCTTCCTGTCTGCAGTCTTATATGCTAATCTCTTATGTGGGGCCTTATTAAAAGCCTTCTGAAAGCCCAAGTAAACTGCATCAAATGGCTCCCGTTTGTCATCTTTGAAACTCCAGTGGACTTGTCAGACATTTCCCTTTTGTAAATCCATGCTGACACTGTCCAATCCTGTCACTGTTTAAGTGCTCCCCCTTATCAGCTCTACTAGTTATATTCTGTATATCCTGATTTTTGTGCAGAGGAATAACTAGAGAATGGCCTAGTACTATTATTGCTGGACTGTTAATCCAGAGATCCAGGTAATGTCCTGGGGACTTAGGTTTGAATCCCGCCACTGCAGATGGCAGAGTTTGATTTAAATAAAAATCTGGAATTAAGACTCCATTGCCAATTGTCGGGAAAAACCCATCTGCTTCACTAATGTCCTTTAAGGAAGGAAACTGCCATCCTTACTGGTCTGGCCTATAACCACAGCAATGTGGTTGACTCTTAAACTGCCCTCTGGGCAATTAGGTATTGTCAAGAAATGCTGCCTAGCCAGCGATGCCCTTATCCTGTGAATGAATAAAGAAAAAAAAAATATCTGGGCAATTTTCCACATTGTCAAGTAGATGTTAGTATTTCACCTATGATGGATGAACTTGGCTAAGGTGCAGCATGTTCTGAAGTACAAGTCTCCAGTACTATTGCCTGAATGTAGTCAGGGCTCAGCCTTTCTAGGATCCAGTGCCTCAAACCATTTCTTGATATCACATGGAATGAATCAAATTGGCTGAAGACTGGCATCTGTGATATTCGAGACCTTTGGAGGAGACTGAGATGGATCATCCAGTTGGCACTTCTGACTGAAGATTGTTGCAAATGCATCTTATCTTTTGCACTGTTATGCTAGGCTCCCTCATTATTGAAAATGGGAATATCTGTGGAGTCTCCTCCTCTAGTGAATGGGCGACACCGGCATTGACTGTGAATAACTTTAAAATGTACAAATTTCCTGAAAGTTCCTTTTATGATGTCTTTTAGCTAGACGGATGCTCATCACAATTCAAGCAAGATGACAATCTGCTCTTCAGATCCCAGCCAGGATTGAGTGACATAGGCACCATGTAGATCATTGGCTTGAACAAGGCCGTAATTCAATAAGGATTGCTGTTTTGATTTAGAGTGCCTCCATGTGTTTTGTACTTGTCCTTCTGGCAGAAGATGGTGTTTGTTCTGATGAAGCTATACTGAGTACACGTTGTCAGCAGGAGGACTCTTTGTGCAATGACTTTTCCGATGCCATTTTCTAAAGTTCCTCTCCAGACTTTGGAGTTATGGTCAACCCTAGCGCTAAAGTACCCCAGAGGAGGATCTTTTCTTCTTTCGGAATGACAGTGAGGAATCAAGGTCAGAATAGAACTGTTGTTTAATACTTTCATCTGAGCCAAGCGTCAAGACTTAAATAATGATGTCTGTGGCATATTGATTACAGCTGAGCTGGAAATGTAATGTCATGAGCTTTTCATTTATACAACTGGGGAGTTCTGTTGCAGTCAGTTGCTACAGTGAAGGAATGATGATATACTTCCAAATCTGAATGGTATGTGACTTGGATGGGAATTTACAAGTGAATAGTGTTCACAAGCATCTGCTGCTCTTGTTCTTTTGAATGGTAGTGGGTGTGATTGGAAGGTGCTGTCTAAGGATCCTTCATGAATTTCATCTTGTAGATGGTAAACACCGCTGCTACTGCGTGTAAGTGGTGGAAGTACTGAATGTTTGTTGTGGATGTGGTGCTAGTCAAGCAGGATGATTTGTCCTGGGTGAAGTCAAGCTATTTGAGTGTATTTGAACTGCGCTTATCCAGACAAGTGGGGAATATTCCATCAAGTACCTGCTTTAACCTTGCAAATAGTTGGTTGACTGGCTTTAGGGAATCAGGAGGTCAGCTTCTCGTTGCAGGATTCCTAGCATCTGATGTGAAGTTGTGGCCACAGTATTTATATGGCACATAAGGCTATTGAATAAGACAAGAATCCACGCTGTTGAGGACAGAATATTAGCATTGATATAGGATTGGCAAGAGCTGGGATAAAGGGAGGCCTTTTCAGGCTAGCAACCGGGATCTAGTGGAGTGCCAAAGGGATTAGTGGTTTGGCTAGAATCATTTATATTTTACATTAAGGACTTGGATTAGAGGAAATATCTTTCCTACCAGGACCCTGCCAAGATCCCTGAGGATCTCGTATGTTTCTGTCAAAAAACCTTTTACTCTTCTAAACTAGCCTGCAACCCTGCCTATTCCAGGTATTAGTCTGGTAAATTCTGTGAACTGCTTTCAATGCATTTATGTCCTGAGTGTGTGTAGGGTTCAATTTCAAAATTTACAGATAAATAGACTATAAAAACAAAAAAAGTCGTGATGATCCTTTATGAAACACTGACTAGGCTTTAACTGTCTGGGCATTTCACTTAAAGAAGGATGTGAAGGCTTTAGAGAAGGTACAAGACATTTACCAGAATAATTCCAAGCATGAGGTTATTACCAGGATAGGGGAAGCTGGAGTTGCTTTCCTTAGAGAAGATAAGTTCACAGTGGTGTACAAAATCATGAGAGACTAAATAGACTAGGTAGAGAAACAGTGACTGTAGGTGGAAGGGTTGAGAACCAGAGGATGCCAATTCAAGCTGAATTGCAAAAGGAGCAACGGTGACACAAAGAACTTTTTTACTGAATAAGCAGAGAGGTTCTGGAACATACTGCCTGACAGAATGGTGAAGGCAAGTTCAGTCATGGCTTTCAGAAGGGAAGTGGATTAGCAACTGAAGGGGAGAGTTTGCAGGGCTCTGGCTGAAATGTGAGAACATAGAACATAGAACAATACAGCACAGTACAGGCCCTTCAGCCCACGATGTTGTGCCGACCTATTATCAAATAAGATCAAACTACCCTGCATACCCTACATTTTACTATCATCCATGTGCCTATCCAAGAGTCGCTTGAATGTCCCTAAGTGAGGAAGTGGATTTAGCTGAATTGATTTTTCAAGAACCTGGCATTTACACAAGATGCCAAATGGCTCCTCCTGTGATGTAGCCATTCAATGAACCTACATGACAATGGGGAAGCTGAACTGATCTTCCTCAACGGTAGTCAAGATACCTTCGTTTCCATGATCATGCTATTCCTGCTGTTGATTTGGGCTGATCCAGGTTATAAATTGCTTAATGATTTTTTGGCTTGCAGATTCATTTTATAGCTATCACAAACACTACTGACTAACCTCCATAGCATTGTTTGCTTCCATCTCTGACTTACTTTCAACCATATTTAAACCTTAATTTATGCTCTATTCACTTGAAGCTCAATTTTCCAATGTATTCCTCATTGTTTGTGAAATGCTCTCAATTATGATACCAGTTCATCCAAAGTATTGCCGTTCTCATTCTATCGTATCTACTCACCTTCCTATTCTCAGTATGGAAAGATCCAAAGCTATATTGACATGAGAATTGCAGACAGGGTCTTAGTTTCTAAGCTGCCTAAATATCAAAGCAAGTGGTCAGCCATCAGTAACATTCCTAATGAAACCGTCTTAGCTGAGTTGGGAGAATTCTTACTGAGTCGGTAAGAATCGCTACAGACTTGTCAAGAATATAATATAAACTCATCCCTCAACTTGAACAAAGAATGGTTTCTCCAACAATGCAACATGCTCTCAGTGTTGCACTGAAATATCAAAGTATAGGTTATGGATGGTATGGCCTAACGGTATAATGGAGGCGAGTTGAATCATGGCTTTCAGAAATGACGTGAATTAGCAGCTGAAGAAGAAATGTTTGCAAGGCTTGGGATGATATGTGAGGGGATGAAATTAACTGAGTTGCTCTTTCAGGAAGCTGGCATTTGTACAGTGTCAATAGACCTCCTTTAATGCTGTAGCCATTCAATGATCCAGGGCCAAAGGGTCTCTTCTGTGTTGTTAGACTCTATGACGATGACATTGATCATCCCTCCTAATATTAATATGTTTTTTGCTTTCTTAAGTGAGACACCTTGGGATTTTTACTATATTGAAGGCAGTAAAATTTGCTTTGCTGTTGGGAAGTCAGCAGGCAGTGCAGCAGTATGCATTTGGGATTTCCATTCAGTGGCAAAGCAGGGCAGTGACAAAATCTGTTAAAATCCATTTGTAGGTAACTGTCCAGGTTAGGTTCTAGTTATGTCTCCGTTGACATGTAACCAAAGCACACTGCGACTCAAAATACTGATATTAATTCATTGCCAGATAACCAGAGCTGATACTGTGTTTATATGCTGACACGTAATTTTATTATCCATGGGATAGGATTAAAAGAATAATGCAGTCACATGTAATATGACCCTATTTGAACAATTTTTTACTATGTGCAGGAGTATCTACTTCTTATGCATTGTGTGTTCGTTATGATGGCATTGAAGTTGATGATTCATATTGTGATTCTGTGACTCGACCAGAGCCAGTTCATGAATTTTGTGTAGGGAGAGAATGTCAACCGAGGTAAGTAATCAATGTTCTTTTTATATTATTCCTTCCATGCTTGTGTTAAAACAATTGATTTCTCAAACCGTGTTTAGAGCTCCCATGCAATCCATATTGATTTGTGACAACCATTGTTAACACATGATATTAAAAGGAATGTATCTGATGAGTGGATTGATAACTAGGGAACAGAAAAGAAAATTAATTTTTTTTGGATTAGTTCAATTTGGGTAGTTGCTACACACCAAGTGTCTGCACAAGAACTTATTTTGGTTTCCCTTTGTGTAACTGGTTTTAGATATAAACATGAGGGGAATAATATTGAAATTTGTTGATGGAAAATTAGACAAATGTGTCAGTGAAGCTTGCTGGAGTTCCCCTCCATCCCATTTCCAGTTTCAAAGTTATTGGTGAGCCTGCTCACAAAACCAGTGGCTGCCCCGCATCAATTTAACTTTAGAAGCAAAATTAATTTCTTTATAAGGCAAGACTTCCGTCCCTATCTCAAGAGGGAGTTGTGTATGAGGGAACTACCAACGAGTTAGATTGGCTGCAGCTATTTAGCCCTGCAGGATCAAGCAGGGGTAGTGGACAATGCAGGGATGATAGCCAGTTCTGTCAAAAACAACATAACTATCACTAAAGCGTATTAATCCCAATTTCCTGTACTTGTCCCATATCCTTGAATGTTTTGATATTTGAAGTGCTCATCTAAATATTTTTTTTAAAGGTTGTAAGGTTTCCGGCCTCCACTACCTCCCCAGGCAGTGCATTCCAGATTCTCGCCTGGTTGGGAAAGACTTATTGGATTTTCAAGCACTCCTACTTTCAATGCTGCCGATATAGAAGAATAGAATTCAGTCCATTGGAATGCTTTAGTACATGTGGTTATTGATACAGAAGCAAATAATATAATTTAAAGGGTGCTTAATAAAGATTTCAAAGAAGTTCTACACATTAATATGTTAGTATAGACATATATATGTTGCTAGAGAAAAAGATAAATCACAGCTTTTAATATTTTCAATACACTCACAGGGTGTGGACTCTTCTGGCTCAGCCAATATTTATTGCCCGTCCCTAGTCCCCTTGAGAAGGCATTAGTGAGCTGCCTTCTTGAGCCACTGTTGTCCATGTGCCAAAGGTTGACTCACAATGCTATTAGGAAGGGAATTCCAGGATTTTGATTCACCAATGCTGGAGGAAGGGTGATATGTCACACGTCGGGAGGGTGGGTAGTTTGGAGGGCAACTTACAGGTGTAGGTGTTCCCACATATCTACTGCCCTTGTCCTTCCACACAGAAGTAGTTTTGGGCTTGGAAGGTGCTATCTAAAGATCTTTGGTGAATTTCTGCAATATATCTTGTAGTTAGTACACACCACTGTTAGTGAGCATCAGTGGATGCTTGTGGATGTGGTGCTAATGAAACAGGCTACTTTGTCTTGGGTAGTGGCAGGCTTTTGGAATGTTGTTGGAGCTGCACCCTTCCTGACAAGTGCAGGATATTCCCTTACACTCCTGACTTGATGACATAAATCTTAGACAGTGAAGAAATGAATCACTCACTTCCTAGCAGGGATTCTTAGTCCCTGACCTGCTCTTGAAGCCACTGTGTTAAGTTCCTGATCAACGGCATCTCCTACGATGTTGATAGCAGGGAATTCAATGATGGTAAACCATTGAATGTCAAGGGTTGGTGGTTAGATTACCTCTTACGGGAGATGGTCATGGTCTGGCGTTTGTGTGGCGTGAATGTTATTTGGCACTTTTCAACACCAATCTGGATATAGTCCAAATCGTGCTGTGTTTCGACATAGACTGCTTCAGCTAACGATGCTGAACATTGTGCAATCATCAGTGAACATCCCCACTTCTGACCATGTGACGGAAGGAAAGTCGTTCATGGAGCAGCTGAAGGTGATGTTGCCTAGGACACAACTCTGAGTAAGTCATGCAGAGATGTCCTGCACCAGAGATGACTGACCTCCAACAACCATCTTCCTCTGTACAAAGTATGACAAGTAAGCCAGTGGTGAGCTTTCCCCTGATTCTCTTTGACTCCACTTTTTTGCTCCGATTCCTTGATGTCACACTCATTCAAATGCAGCCTTGATGTCAAAGGCTGTTATTCTCACCTCATCACTAGAATTCAGCTCTTTTGTCCATGTTTGAACCAAGGCTATAATGACATCAGGAGCTGAGTGACCCTGACAGAACCGAAACTGAGCATCAGGGAGCAGGTTATTGCTAAACATGTGCTGGTTAACTGCATTGTTAATGAAATCTTCCATCACTTTATCGAGATCAAGAGTGGACTGATAGGAAAGTAATTTGCTGGGTTGGATTTGTCCTGCTTTTTATGTGCAGGACACATGGGCAAATTTCCACATTGTCGGGTGGATGCCATATTGTAGCTGTACTGGAATGGTTTGATCAGAGATGCCGCAACTTCTGGAGCACAAGATTTCAGTACTATTTTGGAATATAAGAATAGTGATAGGCAGAGAAATCAAGGTCTAAAATTGACCAGGGCCACAATGATCAGAACTAGGAATATTAAAAAGACATTCCTTAAGGCCTTGTGCTTTAATGCACGGAGCCTTTGCATTAAAATGGATGAGTCAGCCATTGATCTAAGTGGGTATGATATAATGGGGATTACAAAGACATGCTGCAGGGTGACTAGAAATTTTTCATTTTTCAGAAAGGAAAGACAAAAAGGAAAATGAAGTAGGATAGCACTGCTGATTAGAAAGGAAATGAATGCAATTGTGATGAAGGACAATGGCTCTGGTGAAGTAGAATCTGTATAAGTTGAGCTTAGAAATACCAACGGGCAGAAAGCATTTGCAGGGTTTGTATATAGACCTCCAAACTGTAGTAGTAATATTGGGGAAGGTATTAAAAAGGAAATTAGAGAATCAAGTAATATATGTGCGACTTGAATCTGCGTATAGATTGCATAATCAAATCAGTAGCATGACCGTAGAGGAGGAATTCTTGAAGTGTGTATGGGATCGTTTATTGATCAATATGTTGAGGAACCATCAAGTGCAAAGGCCATCCATGACTAGGTGTTGTGGAACGAGGAAAGAGAAGGGGCATACTAGCACTGGAGGAGGTGCAGAGGAGATTCACTCGGTTGATTCCAGAGTTGAGAGGGTGGGATTATGAGGAGAGACTGAGTAGGCTGGGATTATACTCATTGGAATTCAGAAGAATGAGGGGGGATCTTATAGAAACATATAAGATTATGAAGGGAATAGATAAGGTGGAGGCAGGGAGGTTGTTTCCATTAGCAGGTGAAACTAGGACTAGAGGGCATCGCCTCAAAATAAAGGGAAGCAGATGTAGGACTGAGGTCAGGAGGAACTTCTTCACCCAAAAGGTTGTGAATCTGTGGAATTCCCTGCCCAGTGAAGTGGTTGAAGCTATCTCGCTGAATGTGTTTAAGGCAAGGCTATAAATTTTTGAACAGTAAAGGAATTCAGGGTTATGGTGTGCGGACGGGCAAGTGGAGCTGAGTCTCAAAAAGATCAGCCATGATCTTATTGAATGGCGGGGCAGGCTCAAGGGTCCGGATGGCCTACTCCTGCTCCTAGTTCTTATGTTCTTATGTAAGAATAATTGATAATCTAGTTTTGTGTGGGCTGTTGGAGAAGTGTGACCATGTTAGGATAAAATCCTTCACTAAGATAGAATAGAATCCCTACTAAGTGGAAGCAGGCCATTTGGCACTGCCCCTCCAAAGAGCATCCCATCCAGATCCATCTCCGCCCAACCTAATTCCGTGTAATCCTGCGTTTCCCATGAATGATCCACCTAAGCTACATAACACATCCCTGAACACCATGGGCAATTTACCATGGCCAGTCCACCTGACCTGCACATCTTTGGACTGTGGGAGGAAACCAGAGCACTTGGAGGAAACCCATGCAGACACAGGGTGAATTTGCAAACTCCACACAGACAGTTGCCCAAGGATTGAATCGAACCAGGTCCTTGGCACTGTGAGGCAGCAGTGCTAACCACTGAGCCACTGTGCCACCCCAAGCTGAAAAGTAACATTTTGTTTCCGAGACCAGGGACCTGAATTTAAATCAAGGAAATTACGATGGTATGTGCGATGAACCAGCTATGATAAATTGGAGATCGTTACTTAAAGGGATAATGGTTGTTAGGCATTGGCAAACATTTAAATGGATGAACTGCAAAACTTATTCATCCTAGCTTGGCTAATAAGGGTTTGGCCTAAATAAGCACCAACCTGATGATTGGGAACAGTTTAGATTCCAGCAAAGGGAGATGAAGAGATTGATTGGGCAGGGGGTGTGCTTGGGAAATAAGGATTAGAGTAAGATTGCATAGAACACGTAAACCGTAGTAAAAAAAAATTCTATAGATGGATGAAGAAAGAAGAAGTAAAGATAAATATAGGTTGCTTAAAGTCAGAAACAGGAGAATTTATAATGAGGAACAAAGAGGTGACAGACCAGTTATATGCATACAGTTTTAATTGGTTCATCAACATTCAGAAGACTTTTGCAGATCAGATGTCTAATCCTGATGCAGGAAAGGACTCCATGGTGATGGCAATTTAGAACTTCAGTAAAATGCACATCCAACACAGGACAGCTGACAGGTTTATTGGAGGCAGTGGGCAAAGTAACTCAAATGTTGAAGGAACAAAAACAGAAATTTTTGGAAAAAGAGGACATTATGAGGGCATATTGGTGCTATGGGTGGAACTCCATTGTAAATACATTCCCGCATTTGTAAGTGCATGCTTACTGTTCGTCATCAGCTGTATGAGTAATGTCTTCCTCGCTGCAACTACAAGAATGAAGGTGCAGAGTCTAGCCATCCTTAGCACCACACTGGTTTTTGGCCCAAGGTGTGAAGTGAGCAGATCCTGCACCAAATGAAAACTGAGACCTTGCTTGCTACTTTGACCACAATACATTGCTTGTACGACATAGCCATTAGTGGGGCCAGCCATTTTCATCCCTATCATTTTCTAGATTCTTGCATCAAGACGGAAAGAAAAGAGGTCACTGTTCACACAGTGAGTCCCATAGTCAGCCTCTCAGGCTGGATGACCCCCCCCAAATTTTCATGTCTCCTTTGTGGTAGCCCTGCCTATCACCCCCATAAGCTGTGATATGAAAGTTCCCACTCAACCCATCACCTCTGTACGTTAGCCCTTGAGCCCTGGGCATATCGAGTCATGCCAGACATGGTAGTGCACCAACTGCACCTACCCCCCACCCCATTGAAGTCAGGGTGATGCTGACTGTTGATGACCACCCATCACACCTAACCCCTTTCTCTGTAATGCTTTTTTGTCTCTTCCCCCCCCCCCCATTATGTATTGAGCTGTCCCTTCACAATTGTTAGCCCCTCTGCATCCCAGCATGCTGCCTTCAATCCCCATAGTTTAATTCCCCCAGCTTTGTTCTGCAGGGTAACCCCCCACTCCACTTTTAGTGATCGGACACCCCGAGGATTGACAATGGCCTACCTCTTGACCAACTTTGATGATTGAATGATGACTGACCGGACCCCTGACTGTGCAACTCCCCAACTGACTTAACATGACCTTCCAAACGTGTTAGTTGTGTTGGACCAACAGGCTGACCATGGTCCACTCCCTAGACTGTAGAGGTATGAACCCCTAAACCTGACTGCCCAAGCCCCTGGACTGATATTGGAGGCCACCCGTGACTTATTGTGCCAGGTCCCATGTCTGAACAGTGTTTTCATTGGTTTGACTTAAGATTACTCCCCTTAGACTTTTGAGACATGACTGTTTGGTTGGTACACATGCAGTGTGTTTGTTGCATAACCTGCTAGAATATGCCCAGGTGTGAGATTGCCAAAGTTGTGTACAGCAACATGTCGAGTCCCTGAACTTGTAACTGCTGACAACCTTGATGAACAGACTGCTTTTATGTCTGTGCTAAACAGCAAGGCAAGGCATAAGTACTGTGAGCCTTTAAGCTCCGTCTGAAGGGTCGAAGCACAAAAAGACAAGGTTTTGGAGTAGATCTGTAGCTCGGGTTGTGGGTGTTGAGGTTGGTTGGCTCGCCGAACTGGTTTGTTGTTCCGCAGACGTTTCGTTACCATGCTTGGTAACATTCTCAGTTACCAAGCACGGTAACGAATCATCTGCGGCACAACAAACCAACTCGGCGAGCCAACCAACCTCAACACCCACAACCCGAGCTACAGATCTACTCCAACACCTTAGAGACCTACGGGCGCAACACGCTCAAACTGGCAAGGAAATGGGAAAACTACGCCAAAACTGAGGATGTTACCAAACAAGATAACGAAACGTCTGTGGAACAACAAACCAGCTTGGCGAGCCAACCAACCTCAACACAAAAAGACAAGACCAAGCAAGACAGCATGCTGTGAGTATTAAAATAGGTGCAAAGTGAGAGAGCGCTAAGAGAGTAAGCAAGAAGCCCTGAAGTGCACCCTGGGTCCAATCCTTGAGTTGGGTGCTTATCCATATGTGGAAAGTATTCTGGCAGCAACATTGCAATGAGAGGTGCCAGCGCTGGTGCAAAGTGCAGCAATGAAATATGGAACCATTTACCACATTGTGCATGGTGAGGTTGCTGCCTTGCTCGTCGAGCTGGCTTGTTCTCACTCAGACGTTTTATCACCATACCAGGTGACATCTTCAGTAGAGCCTCTGATGAAGCAGTGTTATTCTACTCCGCTTGGAATTTATACTGTCTGGTCCGTCATGTAGCGTCATTTCCGGTTTTGATTTGTATGGTTTGTATATGGGGTCCAATTCTATATGTTTGTTGATTGCATTATGGGTGGAGAACCATGCTTCTAGGAATTCCTTTGCTTGTCTATGTTTGGCTTGGGCTACTATAGTTACCTTGTCCCAGTTAAACTGATGGCCTTCATTGTCTGAGTGTACCGATATTCAGGAGAGCTGTAGTGCCGTTTTGCTGCTAGCTGATGTTCATCTCCATAATATAGGTACACTCAGACAATGAAGGCCATCAGTTTAACTGGAACAAGGTAACCATAGTAGCCTAAGCCAAACATAGACACTTGCAGAAATTCCTAGAGGCATGGCTCTCCACCCGTAATGCAATCAACAAACATATAGAATTGGACCCTCTATACAAACCCATACAGATCAAAACCAGAAATGACAGTACTCACCATAACGGACCAGACAGTATGAATTCCAAGCGGAGTAGAATATTATCGCTTCATTGGAGGCTCCACTGATGTCACCTGGCATGGTGATGAAACGTCTGAACGAGAACAAACCAGCTTGACAAGCAAGGCGGCAACCTCATCCACAACCCGAGCTACAGATCTTTGCCAAAACTTTAAATATTGTGCATGAGTCAGAGATATACCATGATGATGTGCAGAGGGTAGTATGCGTTTCCTGCCAACACCAGTGGAGCCCATGGAGCCCTGAGATCTTGGTGACCGTTGTCTACATGGAAGGCTGGAGGAGCGAGCAACGAGCTGGAGTCACCAAGCAACTGCTGTGACTTTCATGTAAGGAATGGTCATTGTCTAGTTTCCATCCAATGGATGGGAAAATGGGAAACTATATAAAATAGGTGAGATTAAGTGATAATGAAATGTTAATACATGCAAAAAGGCCTCTTTCTGTTCAATAGCAAAATTCTCAGCATGACATTCAACATTTGATTGGAAAATGGGACTTTCTGCTTTCAATGTCGGGATTATCTTTGTTGTCAATCTTAACCTATTTTCCTGACTGTCAACAAGACCACTTTGTTCAGTGGTTGGGAATACTCTGACCTTCGTGAATTTTTGATCTGAGTTAAATTACCAAATGGAGATGCTAGACAGAAATATGCCTAAGTCTGTTTCTGGTCCCAGGTTCTCGACTGTGCAAAATAAGAACCGAAAGAACTGTGGATGCTGTAAATCGGGAACAAAAACATAGTTGCTGGAAAAGCTCAGCAGGTCTGGCAGCATCTGTGAAGGAAAAAACAGAGTTAACGTTTCGGGTCCGGTGACCCTTCCTCAGAACATTAACTCTTGTTTTTTCCTTCACAGTTGCTGCCAGACCTGCTGAGCTTTTCCAGCAACTTTGTTTTTGTTCTCTACTGTGCAGGCAGCTACACTTGAACCAAGAAATTGAGCCTATGGTACAATCTGCACCTGATCAAATGAAATTATTTAGGCTAACTTGCCTTGCTAAGGAAGAAAAGTAGAAATGTTTAGATGCAAACAGATGACCGGTGGCACAGTAGTTAGCACTGCTGCCTCACAGCGCCAGGGACCCGGGTTCGATTCCAGCCTCAGGCGACTGTCTGTGTGGAGTTTGCACATTCTCCCCATGTCTGCGTGAGTTTCCTCCGGTTTCCTCCCACAGTCCAAAGATGTGCAGGTTAGGTGGATCGGCCATGCTAAATTGCCCGTAGTGTTTCAGGTAGGTGTACATTAGGTGGGTTATAGGGGGATGGGTCTGGGTGGGATGCTCTGAGGTTTGGTGTGGACTTGTTGGGCCGAAGGGCCTGTTTCCACACTGTAGGGATTCTATGATTCTAATTTTTGCAGAAAACTTGTAAGTAATTTGTGGGGCAAAACATGATACATTTTCTGTTTTAAAGAAAATAACAGATTCTAAGGGCAGGAAATGACAAATAAGCATAAGTTTAGAAACATTTTGATCTATTTGCCAGCCCCAATTTCAAAACAGACCACACAATTCACTGCACGTATCCCAATTGATTTCCTCTTAAAGCCAGTCCAATTGCCTTTTAGTACAACTGATGTTAAAGGCCTTGTTTGTCTTCCTGGGCAATTCATTCTAAATATTCACCATCTGCCTCAAACCATTTTCTTTTCTCAGCTTCATCACATATTCCTCCTTTTGTGTTTGTAAAAGCACAGCAAAGTTACTCATGAGACCTTAAAATATAGGAGCAGAATTAGGCCATTTGGCCCATTAAGTCTGTTCCACTGTTCATTCATTGCTGATATGTTTCTCAACCTCATTCTCCTGCATTCTCCCTGTAATTCTTGTTTCCTTACTATTGAAGAACCTAATCATCTCTGTCTTAAATACAGTCAATGATTTGGCCTCCACAGCCTTCTGCAGCAATGAGTTCCACAGGTTCATCACCTTTCTGCTGAAGAAATTCCTCCTCGTCTCAGTTCTAAAGAATTGGTCCTTCACTCTGACGCTGTAGCCTTGTGTTCTAGTCTCTCCTACTGATGGAAACATGTCCATGTCTACTCTATCTGGGTCTCTCAGTATTCTGTAAGTTTCAAAGAGACGCACCCCCATCCTTCTAAACTCCATTGAGTACAGACCCAGAGCCTTCAACCACTCCTCATCCCCAGAATCATTCTTGTAAACCTGTCTGAGCTATTTCCAACACCAATACATCCTTCCTTAGATATCTGACAGCCTTACCTATTTTCTAATTAACCTGTTCAGAGATTTTATTACCCATCTCTAGAACAGATGGGATTTGAAATGAGGTCTCCTGGCTCAAAGGTAGGGGACTATCAACGCACCACACAGCCTGGGTAGTACATCTCTGCTCTTGTATTCTAGCCCCTTTGAAATGAATGCCAACATTGCTTTACCTTTGTAACTGCCAAGTGAACCTGCATGTTAACCTTAAGAAAATCCTGAACTAGGATTCTGTACCTTCATACCTTAAATACTGCTTCTACTTTTCCTTTGGCTGGTTCTTTTTTTAATCAATAATAAAGAACGGAGTGTTCGTGTAGTATGCACTGACTTATCGTTTAAATAAATAACATTTGCAGATGGGAGACGAGCAGTTGGAGTGAATGCTCACGTACCTGTGGAGAAGGACACCAATTCAGAATAGTCCGCTGTTGGAAGATTCTCTCTGCGGGGTTTGACAGCTCAGTGTACAATGAAATGTGTGAATCTGCTGATCTCTCCAAGCCATCTGAACGTAAAACCTGCAAAAATCCATCTTGTGGCCCACAGTGGGAGATGTCGGAGTGGTCAGAGGTAGGATTACTGTATTTTTCTGTTTAAGTAATCTGTTCTCTAATGTTAATTGCGATGATCTACTTGGGAAAGTGAGCTGATACTCATGCCCCATTACTCTTGGGATAATCTCAAAAGTTAAAGTTCTAATCAAATTACTCAAAGTCCTCAATTCTCCTGTATGATGCACTCAGGATAATAGAAAACACTGACCAGGTTTCTGTGCTTAACAAGAGATTAATATTTATTACAAATAAATCAGTTCTAACCACAAACAAGTAAAATATGAATTATCAGCTTGTAGCTCTACCCCTTCTGAAACCCCTACACACACATGGAGAGAAACATAGACAAACAAGAAAACATAGTTGTTATAGGTAGAGAAAAAATGTTAAGAGAACACACTTCACTAGCACCAGTACACAAGATTCAACAAGGTGTCCTTGTCCATTAACCGTAAAATGGCCAGCATCCAAGTTCATTGGGTAATGGGGAAGACAAGTGGAATGTTGACCTTTTGTTTCAAAGGGAATGGCATACAAAAGTAGGGAGGTTTTGCTAAAACTTTAAAAGGTACAAATCAGATCATAACTGAAATACTGTGAACAGGTTGACCCCTTAGCCAAGGAGAGATATATTGGCATTGGAGATAGTCTTTAGAAGGTTCACTTGGCTGATAACCAGCTGTGGAAGGACTATTTTATGAGGAGAGATTGAGAGTGTTGGGCCTGTACTTGTTGGTATTTGGAAGAGTGAGAAGTGATCTTATTGAAACATAAAAGTTTCGTAGGGGACTTGACAGGTTAGATGCAGAAAGATTAAGTCCCATATGGGAGACTCAAGGACCAAAAGCCATAATCTCAGAATACGGGGCCGTTATTTAAGACTGAGATGAAGAGTAATTTTATCTCTGAGGGTAGTGAATCTGTGGAATTCTTCATCACACAGGACTGTCAAGGTTGGGTCGTTAAATATGTTCAGGCTGAAATGGATAGATTTTTAATCAGTAAGGGAATAAAGGGTTATGGGAAAAGGCAGGAAAGTGGGGCTGAGGATTATCCCATGATCACTTTGAATGACAGAGCAGATTTAGTGAGCTGAATGGCCTATTTCTGCTCCTGCACCTTAAGGTCTTATGTCCTTTTGCTTCTTCCGAGAACTGGCCTCCAATCTTCTTTCATTTCAAGGCCCTTCAGTTCTTTACTACAGATACAGGCAAGAGGATTACTAATTTTTCAATCTCTTAATCTCTAGTTATAGGTAGTTTATATGCAAATAGTGAGTGAGAGAGAATAACAAGCTATCTTCCAATTCTTTCTGAAGGAGGGTCACTGGACTTGAGATGTTAACTGCGCTTTCTCTCCACAGATGCTGCCAGACTTGTTGAGTTCCTCGAGCAATTTCTGTTTTTGTTTCAATTTCCAAGTTACTTCTCTGCAGGGAGAGTGCAATACATCTTTTGAGAGTCTGGAGGCTTTCTGCCCCATATTGTTCACATCGGTTATACAACTGTCTATGAGCCAATCAGAGAGTAGTTGTCATGCTGATGTTTCCTGATCCACACCACTAATACTGATTTGTAAAACAATCAACATGCTGCCTCTGGGCAATTGCTCTGAACACACACCAATGGTGTTGATGAGTTCAGTTATCCTCTCCACCACTTGAACAAAGCATCAGTGTAAATACAACTTACAACAAGTTCCAATAACATGTTTTAAAACAGCAACATCCTCTTCCGTGGTCTCCTTATTTTAGAGCAGATTGCTCCACGATCAAAAATAAATAAAAATAAGATGTATTCTCTTCAATTCAGTTGCACAGTAATAAATCCAAAAGGGAAATTGCAAAAGATTCCTATTTCTAAGAAATTTTCATCCTGAGGGGTTCAAGTTTTAGAATTAAAGGGGAAGATATTAGATCAGGTCAGAAAGCAGGCATAGGGTTTGATGCAATGACAAGCCTGTGCTTATTTCTTACAGTGCAAGAAAACAATCCCGTACATCAGTTGCAGTTCGAATATAATAAGGGGAGAAATACAGTTGTATACAGTAGGGAGATTGGAAAACCACACAAAAAATAAATCCACATTAAATATTTCTAGGGGCAGGTAACTTACGTTGTTTTAATCAATTGTTGGAACTCTCTTGGCCATTGGCTGTGGGACAGCCACTTATAACATAGAACAACCATTGTCCTCTTGTCTGCTTTCATCTGAGGCTTAATTTACCATTCTTTCTAAGAACAAATACTTCTTATTTTTGAAAACAAGATACTGATAATAGAGTGTGTTTGGCACTGGATAAATTGTTGACACTAGTTGAATAGGCATCATGACCTCTTGTTTTTTGTAATTCTTCTTTTTATTTTCATATGCCAGAATTTTAGAAAATTAATTCCTGCTGCAAGAGCTGTTAAATGAAATTCGCACATTATACAGCAAATACTAGGAAGATTCAGCTTTTGACGGACCTCAATATCTAACAGAATGGAGCTTTGGCTGGCAACAAATAGCTGATTGTCTTGTGGACTAATGACCAATTATCGATGTCAAAGGCCTTCTGCTTGCCAATAGCTATGTGATTGGCTTCTAGGTAGCTGAACAGCTTCAGTGTGTAATTGTTTCGGCAGAAACCATCAGTGCTTTGAAATGGAAGGAGCTGCTTTTGCTCTACAGCAAAAAGCATCTTAAGTCTGAAGAGAGTTAATTTATCTCCCTTTCCATTTGCTGTAAGCTGTGCATGTTAATTGATAAATCAAAGACCTTTATGTTTGGGAACCAGTCATTTGGTGCCTCCTTCAAACAGGTGAAAGTATCGAAAGGAAGATCTGGAAGCAGCATTCTGATCAGCGCAAGAATTATCTTAGCAAATCCCTTAGACAGGGATCAGTGAAATGCCTTCCCAGTCTTTCCTTCTGCCCACAATACCCATATGTTTTTCCTGTCTGTATCTGTGTTGAAAGGAAGTTTATAGGGGGGATTAGAATTTTAACTAGCAGAGTTATTATACTAACAGTTTATAATTGTTTGCCTGTTTCTAAAATCTATTTATAACTAATCGTCATTCTTGTTAATTAAAAAAAGTCCTGGTCCTTGCTTTCTGTTATCCTGGGTCTACAAGACAGGTGGATTGGGGAATTTTGCATAATTTTAAAATCTTTAACCTTTGTGACAAATCTGAAAGTAGCAGGTTTGATTTTTCAGTGTACTACCCCAGTGAAGCGTAACAGAGTTTGGAGGCTCATCAGGGATGGGTTGAAATAGAGGCAACAAGAACTTGGTACGATATTAGAAAATATTGCAGGTGAAGAAAAACACCAAGTTCATACTGGCCCTGGAAATAGCAAAGAGGTTCCTGCAGATGACAGCATAATCCCTAACAGGCTAAAGGGAACTTCGAATGACCATGTTGATCTGTTTGGTGGGTAAACTGGAATTAGCATTGCCAGACAGAGCTAAGAATGTAGAGATAATCAAGGTAGTAGGATGGCAGTTGGGTTAGTCTCATACACAAGAGACCAGGTACCCTGAGCAGTGAACCATCCAAAACAGATAATATTCAGTTACAGTTAAAGCAGCCAGAGCATGAAGAAACTAGAGAATGCAGAAAAAGGCACAAAGAGCAGAGAAAGATAAGGAAAGGGAGATGGAATTAAGAAGACAGGAATTGGAAATGTGAAAGATAGAATTAAAATTGCCAAGAGAAGAGAATGTGAGGGAACGTGAACAGCTTAAAATGAAGCTGTTGAAGTAGGAGATGTCAGGTGCTGGTGCAGGGGAGAATCAAAATCATAATTTGAAGTCCAGTAAGGAACTGTTTAAGTTTGCATAAGTCTTAACAAAATTTGAAGAAAAAGATGTGGAGCATTCTTCATGTAATTCAAGAAAATAGCAAGTCAAATGAATTGGGCAAAAGAAGTCTGAATACTTCTAATGCAGAGTAAGGATAAATTCACCATAATCCCAGAGGACAGCTCTCACCATACAGAGAGACAAATAGTGAGTTTAATGTGAGGGTCACCACACCTCAGTTGAAGGGGAAGGTTAAGAAGATGGAACCTTTGGGGGTAACCTCAAAGGGAATTGAACCTTAACTTCTGGTGTCAGTCTGCATTACAAACCAGCTGTCTAACCACCTGAGCTAACTGATCCCCAGATAATGCTGTGTAAGTTGATAGGTAATGCACAGATAATTTATGCTTCACTGTCAGAAGCAGTTTCTCTGGATTGTGATACTAAAAAGAAATTATATTTGCTCCATATGAGTTAGAGCCTGAGGCATATGACCAATCGTTCTGGAATTTAAGAAAGCAGCTGAGGCAAGCTTGTAAGAGTTAAGTAAAGTAATTTTTACTAATGGGTGTGAATATTTGAAACTGAAACTATGCATGAAGCTTTTGGACAGGTTATTCTCTTACAAACATTTAAAAATTCACTATCTTCCATAATATGTAGCCACTTCGAGCACCAAAGAGTTACAACTGCTAGATGATACAATACTGGCTGAATAGTAAGGGCTAATCCATAAAGCTAAACACATTTTCCCTCACCTGCACAAATTCAAATGGATAGAAAACAGGAGAGTGAAAGAAAGGCAAGTAACCAAGGTTAGAAATGGAAAGCTGGGTAGGCCCGATGGTCATAAATTGTCCCATTGGGAACACCCAGCATGGGTTCATGAAGGGTAGGTCATGTTTAACTAATTTGGTGGAATTCTTTGAGGACATTACTTGCATGGTGGACAATGGGGAACCTGTGGATGTGGTGTATCTGGATTTCCAAAAGGCATTTGACAAGGTGCCACACCAAAGGCTGCTACATAAGATACAGTTGCACGGTATTACAGGTAATGTATTGGCATGGATAGAGGATTGGTTGACCAGTAGAAAGCAAAGAGTAGGGGTAAATGGGTGTTTTTCTGATTGGCGGTCAGTGGCTAGTGGTGTGCCTCAGGGATCAGTGTTGGGACCTCAATTGTTTACAATTTACATAGATGATTTGGAGTTGGGGACTAAGTGTG